ATGAATGGAGGCCATAGTTCATATCTACATAAATGTTTTGTATACAGGACTGAGAAACGTGTCCGAAAGATCATTTTTGAACATGAAGTTGCATAGGAATCCCAATTCTAGAACAGTAGCTATTTCAATAACAAACCAAAGGGGACTCTACATTATATTATTATTTTTAGTATAAGAGTTCACAAAATTAACTGGTCAGGTTTATTCTTCAGACCTCTTGTTTAGCAAGCAGTATGTGTATAATTGTATATGTTTAGACCAGTATAATTTTCATTATTTAGTTTAATTATGTGTCATTCCTACTAGAACCCACATTATTCAACAGCTTTAACAAGTTCAAATATGGTTTAAAAAACTGTTTTTATTAGTCCCCTGTATCACAGTGACATAAATAAATTATGTCATGTCCTCATTTGACCACCTGGAGGCAAAAATCACGTCAAAATGCCAAAACAAATGTGGGTACCATGCCCCTGCATTCTTCCAGTTGGCTAACTCTCCTGATCTGCAACCAGGGTTAATTATCTTCCCAAAAGCAATAATATCTCCAGTCTACCAAGAAACACAATGACAGCTGAAAAGACTCAACTTGCAACACAAATGAGGTGAGTGCAAAAACGTACGTTCATTTCCTGAACGATCTACTGCGGGCACCATCCGTGCCAATCTGACAGCACTACACATGTAATTGGAATTAAGAATTTAGCTCTTGTAAAGTCCTAACTGTAGCTAATTACAAAACTATCATCTAAGAGCTCGCTGCTTTGCTCAAGAGTAAACAGTAAAAAGTAAACTTGTGCGATTGACAATTTGCATTCAGTCACATGACACCCACTTCGGCTGCTCTTCTTACCTGGGCAAACAAGTGGAGCACGGAGCCTGCATTTAATTTCGAATGTTTCTGCATGAATTTTTCGACGCATACCTGACTACTCATTTTGTTATTTCATGACAGCGGGCGGCCTTCAACTTGAGACGTCCGCTGGGAACGGGTGGCAGGTAGGCTGAAGACGTCGTCGTCGTCTCTTTGTGCTCTGAACACGGCGCGGTTCCATGGTGTGGGAACAATAACTGCTGTCCCCCCCTCCCCGCCCCCCCCCCCCCCCCCAAGCACGTTAACATTATTTCAGGCTACATTCAGAGCCTGCGAGGACTTCAAAGGAATCTCACACGCAGGTTAAATTATTCACATGTTCTCTGAATAGCTGTGTATTCAGCAAGATGCAAAATATACACATACATGCAGTATACTGATAGTGAGTGATAAATGCATGACCAAAGACATGCAACTAAAAATGTCTGATCAGACTACTAACAATATTTTAATTTCAGTTGTTCAGATTTGCTACTACAATATCATTTCAATTGACAGTAACATTTTACTTGAGGGCGAACATTAACTTAGTAACTCAATACTACTCAAGTACAAATCATGTACTTGGAATGCATGGAATACATGAACCGTGATGACCGATTACAGTAATCATGAAAGAAAACGGGATCAGTACATAACTAAAACTTTTCTGGTTAATTAATGCACTAAGTACCTACTACATTACCTGTGTCCCCTCACGTAAAGTGTTACCCAATTGAAAGTTCACTTGGTAGACAATTCAAAGAATCGTATACTTTTAAGTTTGAGCATTAAGATATTTTTTTATTTTACAATTTTTCTCAGTCGCTTTGGTACATTTCACAAATCATCCTTGACATTTGCAAAACAGTAAGTGCATTTCTCGAAACAATTTGTACAAACAGCACCACATGATGGATTACCTGCAAAAGCCTGTAACTTTCTCAAAATCATTACTTCATCCCTCAAAAGTAAATATTTATGTCAATGAACTTGTCAGTGCCATCAGAATGACAAGTCCTTGTGTCATCGTTCATGAACAAGATGGTCAAAATGCTTAGTCATGTTGCCAGAAGAACAGTGTACTTGGTAAGTATTGTTCGATGCAAACTATGACGAAGGTTTTGATGACAGTGATTGAAAATGCACAAAGTACTTTTTCTCAATGACGTATATCAATTTCAACAGTACAAAGTTACTCATACAGTACTCTACATATACTTTAACACACAACCACACACTGTAAGTATGCATACATTTGTGTGTGTCCTACAGTATATATCTGGTATGTAACTGTATAATGTAAATTTACTGTATACTGTAAAATGCAAGTGGAATACTGCAATATGAAACAGTGCAGTAAGTATACAATAATACAGTACAGGGCACATTGTTGGATTACATACCTGTTGTCTCTATGAAACCTTTGAATGACTGAGGACACGGTTGTTCTCCCATCATTTGGCTGCACCCTTCAACCAGCCTTGGCCATTGTAAGGCCAGGATAGAGGACATGGTCCATAATTGTGGCCCTTATATCATCAGGACTGTGCCTCTGTTCTTGGCCTCTGCTACCTCTTCCTCTGTTTTGCCTCCCTGCCCTTCCACCATGCAGCCTCACTCCTCTTCTTCTTATTGGCTGTTGACCCTGTTCATTTCCTTTTTGTTCTTCCACAGCCAAATTATATCACTGTGTTGTGGTCTGTCACTATATGTTTGCCAAATGAAGCCAAATGAAGCTTCATGAGATGCACCTCTGGGCTATTTTAGAGAACTGGTTGATCATTGGTCAGTTTAACTCCTTAAGCATTCCCCTCTGTGTGGATGTGAGTGTGGATGGGTGAATGTGAGGCATGTATTGTAAAGCGCTTTGAGTACTCGTAGGAGTAGAAAAGCGCTATATAAATGCAGTCCATTTACTATTTACCATATTGGTGAAAGTCAAGATTCAACTGAGAGCAATTCATCAATTCACTACACATTTATAAGAAAAGAAAAAAACAAGGAACTGTAATAGAGATGTATGGAGAATTTGCTTGATCAGTCATGAAAACTAGTGCAACTAGTGTAATGGCTTAAACAATGAACTAATGCTTAGATGTTTTGGGGGATAAGACTATCTAACAGAGTACCAATATAATACATTTTGACCAACATGTTATAAACAATTGAAAATGTAGGGATCGGCATTTGCATAATCGTTCCAAAGCATTTCCAATTTGACCCAAAGAATAAGAATTTGCATTTATGTTCTGCACAAATGGCTAGATGATGCGGAGGTTGTACAAGTAGTTATGAGAATTTCATTTCTGATCTGAGAAATATACCAAAGCAACTGGGAAAAACTGTAACAGACTCAAATAGTTAGCTTTTCATTTTGGCATATATTAGCAATGAATACCTGGGGCAGCTTTAAAAAGGGAAATATCATCCAAGTCATCTAAAGCTTGAGGTGTAATAGGTTAGACAGGTGAGTTGGCAGCACAATGTCTAATGACAGGGTGCTCACTGTTGTACCTTTAATGTCAGTAGAAAGCCTGAATTCTCCCAGTATAACTGGGCAAAATCTGTAAGTCACTTTCAATTAAGGTGACAGTATAACAATGTATAACCCACTAGAATGTATACATGTATAAAAGAGGCAAAACACCATTTCATATATAAAAGGATTTAAAGTGACATACTGAAGCCTGAAAAAAGGAAGGTTAAAAGGAAAGCAAACTATAGACATACAATAATGCGCAAAAGTCTTAGGCAGCCCCAAGGAAATTATGTTTATAGTTATTTATATAACATGAGAATATACAGAAATAAACTGTAATACAATAAGAAGTATAAACATTTCTTGTGTTGGGTGGCTAGAAAAACACTTTAGGCCCCAAAACTCTCCCCAGGGGTACCCCAGCCATTCCATGCATACACTAAATTTCACAAACAGCTCATTTTATTAAGTTACCTAGTCAGTTAGATAACTTTATGAGTTATTCATTAGCCAAACATGGTGTGCTAGTGGTTAAGTCATCTAATACATGGGTATATTAGATGGTAATTGCAAATACTGGGGTTACTTGAAGAGAGTTTTATTGTCTAAGCAGATACATTTCTACAGACATAAGATCAAAATTTTTCACCAACAAAATTTTGAAAAAGAATTTATAAAGAATTTTCTGTAGCTGCCTATGACTTTTGCACTGTTTTATATGTACTATAAGGTTTCATTAATCGAGTGCTCCAATACTGATAAAACAGCACAAGGGTAAATGCAGCTTCCCCTGTATATTCTCAGTGATGTGCATAAATAAATTTTAGTTATTACTTAAATGCTAAGCTCGGATAAATTCAAAGCACTCGTTTTTCATTATCGGTAAAGTCATTCTGAAAGCATAATGTAATTGTACCACCTAGCTGGGAAAACACAAAATGGCTTGGGATTCTTCCCATGATAATTCATTCAGCAAGACCTGTCCTGTGAAAATTCAATCTGACGCTGCTGGCTTCCTTATCCAGCACATTCTCGGGCCCTATTTACTAGACAAGCAAACCCCAAGACACTGCCATGCTGCTTCCGTAAACTGTACCTTCCTCTTGCTCGAACGGGGTGTTGACGGAAGATGTGTTAGAAAACAGTACAGTAGCTGTTTGTAGACTGCTTAAGAACAAGACGTCTAAACAAAAAGCTTGCAGTTCCTCAACCCAGTTAATAATATATATTGATTAAACATTGACTGCAGAAAACTATATTGTTAAAATAAACCAGAGAAAGAAAACATTCAACATGTGCCAAAAATATTAAGTAACCAATTGCAGCTATGCGTCCAAATGCAGTCAGTTATCATGGTGGTTTTGGGGAATTGCAATATCAATTAAGCTAATTAACATCAAAGGAAATGGGAATAGTCTAAACAACTAAGCAAATTGTTTATTAAAAAGGTCAGTCATTAGGTATCCAAAAAATATATGTGTGGAAAGAAAGCATGACAGCCGTTACCACATGGTAGACACATTAAGGGAGAGAGATAATGAGCATAATTAAATATACCACTGCTGTCAAGATTTGAGTTAATGAATAGACGTACCCTTCTCGGATTACATTGTCATTAAAAGGGCTCACTAACTGACAGCACAGTAATAAAGCATCGTTTGAAAATAAGATACAACAGATACAACATTTTATTATTGTCAGTTTTAAATATGAACACACAATCTTCAAAGAAAATACATAATGAGCCAACGATCATTTACATAACAGGGAATCAAATAGAAGGCTATTTCTTTCATGGCGGAATGAACGGTAGCGGGCAGAAGGCCGCATACACGTCGTAAGAAGGGCCGTAGAAGTCACATAGAAGGGGCCAGTGTGCAAATTGATATCAACGGTCGAAATAAAATCAGAGTGAATATAATCAGTTCATTATAACCAGATCTTAGAAACGATCATGCAGAGTCACGGACGATCCACCCGCAGAGTTCGGTCACCTAAGCCCTGCTGTTCAGGCTTCGGTACAAACGGAGAGCACCCTGACCCGTTTACAATACTGTCACGAAACAACACATACAGCGCTATGGGGTAGGCGCAATTGAAAATGCTACCGTTGCCACGTTTCCTCAAAGGAGATCCAAGGAGAAACAAAGAACCAATCGTTGAAGGAAAGAAGCAACCAATTATCTGAAATGTATTGCGGACATTTAGTGCTCAGTCTCTGTATCTTTGCTTACCTAGAAACAAGAAAGAAGAGGAAAAAAGTGTTGGCCTAGGAGCTTTTATTGAATCTACCCTAAGCATGGCAGTAACCTTGCTGAAGTTCTCATCTATATATAAACATTAAATATAAAGTAAGTCACTCATCCTTCTGTCCTTGGTTAATGCAGCTAGCTCCAAACATGGATTAGAGTGCTGTGTCCCCTCTGCTTGCGTGATACAACCATCCCTGTCAGTAAATAATGGACATCAAGTGAGTTGGAAGTATGGATTTGGCGTTTGGGTATTGTTAGGGCCAACACCATGCTTAAGCATTAATCAAAATACAGAACAGCCAATGCTGTATTGAGGCAAAAATCGTGTGGGTGTTCTTAGAGGATCAAATCCAAAGTTACCATTCAAATAGACTATTTTGCTTCATTGTCTGTGAAAAAAATGTCAATGCCACAGAAACTATGAAAAGTGTACTCTCTAAGTGTTTAAATGAAGTATTTTAACTTTGGAATAAATGCACAATAAGTACACACGACTTTTCCGTTTTGTATTTTATGACATGAAGAATGCACACTATCTTCTACTGCTACTTGTGGTATGAAGCAATGCAAACCTGCATAGATACACAAACCCATAACCAGTTGACCGTCGTACAATGACTAGCTTAATGCGGAGCGATAGGAAGGCTTCCGAGTTTACAAACAAAACAGATAATAAAACTGGGGGGGGGGGCTCCCAAGTGGATTGGCCTGTAAAAGATGCACTTACAGGCTTATAGGCGAGCCTTACAGCAGATAACTCACATATTCTGCCTTAGGGGAAATTAAAAAAAAAACATTCCAGTATACAGACAGACCACAATATGCCGCATAAGAAAAGAAAGGATAAGCAAAATGAGCTAGGATTCAGTTCGTCTAACACTTAGATGGTGCTCTGCAAAATTACGCCTTAGATCAACAAGAAGAAGGGTTTAATTCCAGCTGGAAATTACGAATGTGCTTTTTTTTTAAATGCCAGATGCATCTTATCCTCCAAGGACCAAAATTACAGAATTTGTGAGTAACACACATGCATCACGAGTCTTTGTATTGTCTGACTTGTAGGATGTTTTACATCAAATCGAGCCATGGCAATTACATGAAATGCATTCCATTTAACGCTAATTAAATCTGATTATAAAATGTCTTATTACAATCAGCATATAGCAATCTCTGGTGATGTTACCTTTTTTATCCCATACATTTTTATTAAAATATACACATTTATTTTGTACATTACCCCTCCAAGTGTTATCTTATCCACAGAACCAAACGGTCCACAGTCCATGACAGGATTTTGCTGTGTCTGATATATTAATAAGGACATGTGACGCAGCCAGTCCTTGGGGGCCAGTTGATGGGGAACAAAAACAATCATGGGATTCGGAAAAGAATGGATCGTGAGAAGGGATGAAATCCCTCTGTTCCGGAAGCCCTGGTTAGTATTCACTGTTTTTCTTTTTAAATTGTTCTCAATTCCCTTTAAAACGGACTCACATCACAACCATTTACTAAGTACAACCTCATAGTATCATGATACAAATTGTAGGATGTTAACACTCTTGAGATAAGTTGATACCTAGTGATTAAATGTACTATGCTCACAAAATAATTATCTCCCCCATATATTAAATGGTTATCAAACTTTACTGTTGCTCCAGTAATTGGTCTGTTAAAGTCTTATCGTACAATATTTTCCGGTTCCCTAAAATAAGCTGTTACTATGTACGCTTATCGTTTTGCCTGTTACAAATAAATCAAGCCACAGGAGCTAGATTTGTTCTTAAACCCTTTCTTGTATAATTTATATAATCTTTTTATATATAATTATTTCATTTAGTTTTGCATTAAGTATGTCATTAATAGTACTAAAAATATAGTGTGGCTCAAACCAGTTAAACTTGTCTTGTAGAGGAAGAACTCAGACTTTTGAGTCTGTTGTTTTTTTTTTCGGTTATTATCTTTCCGGTTTCTCCATTTGCCAAAAAATATTATTATTTATATTATCATCATCACGCTAAAAATGAGAAAGAAAAAAAACCCTTGAGATCGGATGAAGGTCGCACATGAAGTCAATGGCAGTACCATTTTTGCACTTCACCTGAAAAACTGATAAGAAATGAAACATGTGAAATTGATTTTAGGGTTTGGGGGCTGGACACGGGGGAGCCCTCAGACGTATGGGGCAGCAGTCTGTGTTTCCGGGTGATAGAAGAAGACACGAGAAATGAAACCGCCCCTCCGAAATGTGTTGTGCATCAAAACTTGGGCAGGAGCTGAGTGACGATGACGAGCCAAAGGCAGGCCGAGGTGTGCGTCCCCGGTCCCCCGCTGTTCCCATCCTGCACTGCTCCCGGTCCTGTCACGGGGGAGTGGGGGGGAGCAGACACTTTCATGAACACCACAGCTCACGCACATCCTTCTCCTGCTCTACACCTGTTGATGAATGTCAATTTAACCTCAAACATCTGCAAGCTTAAAGACTCTAACACAGTTTCATCTGCCAGGCTGAAAAAGGAAGACAAGAAATGTCTTTGCTTACATTTGCCCTCCTCCCACACCAAAAGGCCACATATATTTGACATTTAAGCACTTGATGTGATAGGAGACTGATCATTTTTATATATTTATTTTATATATTTCCAGCATGAATTAAAGTCAAACACCATAGGTCATAACTACTAGAAGTATTAAGTTCTATTGGTTAGTACAATTATTTATTATGTATAACATCCTTGGTTGTTGTTGTTGTTGTTATTATTATTATTATTATTATTGTATTCAAAGACAAACCTTCCCATATTGTATATTGCATATAGTCTGAAGAAGTTAAGGTGACATCCTTTTTGTTAAATTCTACTGGTTAGTACAATTATTTATAATTTATACCATTCTAACTATTATTAATACTATTATTTGCATTTACAAACCTTCCCATATTGTATAGTCTGAAGAAGTCATCTGTACTAAATCAGACGTCTTATCTGCGAGAGAAATCATATCGAAGAGGACATTAAATGAAACAGTGGCCAGAGTTTTGCTCCGAACTACTACTATGCGCTAATGATGCAGAGGAAAGGCCCGACATAATTGCACTTTAATAGCATAAGTGCCTGTCCTATTCAAAGCATGCCCGCTCGGTGTTTGTTCTGCTCCATTTCCACTCGCCGCTCTCGTGAATTAGCGCATCACAGTCATGCATAAGAATCAGGCCACGTTACGTTCCGAAATCCTTCATTCCCCTTTGATGGGGGTTTAAGTGCTGCCACTTGGCGGCCTTCGCGTTTCATGGTACTGGAACAGCTGCTGTCGCTGATGCAGCCCCATTTGGTCATGTGACGTCATCACCACGCCAACGCAATAAATCCTGGACCACTCAACCACTAAGGTCAGTCTTAATTGCAGCCTGGTGTAAACAAGGCAATCAGCCTTTGCCCAGATGGTAAGCAGCACTCTTAACGTGGTTAGTAATGGACCCGGGGTCCCGACCAGGCGGCATGGGGATATGTGAAGTATGAAGCGTGTCACACGCTGAGTGTTAAAGGAACCGATTAGCTGTACGCGCATCTCATGGGGCAAAAAGCACTGCACACTGTACCACAGGCCACGGTCAAAGATCAGCTTGAAAGACATCTGTTTGTATACCATTCATCAGTTCATGCATTTTTTATAACCACTTATCGGATTAAGGGCAGGGTGAGACGTCTGTCTGTAGCATGCATAAAGTCATGGCGCTCTTATACTGGCACCCATGATCCAGAAAACGCCAGATGTCCACGCTCCATGCATCCTGGGAGGTGTGTGGGTGATGATAATCTCCACCGAGACTCATTCTACCGGTGTCCTTATATACAGACATGCCTGCGTCTCACTAGTCACCAAGCCGCTTCCAACTATTGGAGTTTGAAATGAATTACAGCTTCACAGAGGGTCCATACAAAGAACCAAGGAGCGTATAAGACTAAAGGTGTATAAATGTACAGGCAGCTTGATCATAGCTTTTGGATTATCTTTAGTTCACTAAAGTTCAAAAGTCAGAAAACTCAATAGCAGGATCCAGTTACACAAAGGTGAACAGTGTTAAACAGACATGTAGGCAGTATTCATGACTGTGATTTATATGGTGTGCAGATTTTATTGTATTAACAATGGAAGCTTCACTCTTCATTTTATTCCCACTATTACCGCTATTACGCCATTTGATATCATAATTAAAATGTTTTCTCTGAAATCTCATTTGGTGTTCTTCGATAACATGAATGTTGACTAGCGGTAATAAAATTGAAAAGTCCTTGAGTCCTTCTCTTGTTTAATTATATGTCAACTTGATATTGCAGAAACACTCATGTAGAGTTTATTAATGCAACCTCTCGTAGTGGCTTTTTTTTTTTTTTTTTTAGATTCTCAGCACCAAGCATTAAAGCTCATTTATAACTCACGATTCAGCCTCACCTCCATTTTCAACAGAATTATGTGGAGTTTTATGATTCTTATTATTTTCGGAACCTCTGTGGAAGATATTGGTTTTTATTGCTGGTCCGTGTGAGGTCATTGAAATCAGTGCATGCTGGGATTTACAGGACTCCCCTACAAATAAATGTTTTACAATGGGAACATTATTAAGAATTGGCTAGATTAATGGATTACTTTGATGGCTATAATACAATAACTTCTAATTTCCCTTGGATTTTCTTGAGTTGAGAAGGATTTCTTTAGGGAGAGCTTTCCAATTATAGCACCACAGCAGATTATACTAAACCCTGTACCAGGGTAATTAAAATAACAGTGTTTCCCTGGAACAAAAATCTAAACAATTCATATATCTCAAGGGAGGACCAGTAGGGGGTGGACAAAATAATGTAAACGCCACATGAAAAAGGATGTTAAACTAAATCAAAATTACAAACATGGTCATATTATGTTGTAATGTCAACTTGCAGTATGTGTCAGTTATAATAAATGTCTGACAATCAACACTCTCCTATGTTTTAGAGGAAACATGAGGTAACGCTGAATTGGCCAAACAGTCAGAGCCCAAATCGGTCACAAGAACTAATTTAATGTGTCAAGGGGGAAATCATCTAAAAAAAAACATGACAGCATAAGCCAAACAGGGACAAACTGCATTGGATAAGAGGAGCAGGAAAGGGAAAGGTCAGTAAGAGTTGAATCTCACCAACAGGGATAGACAGACTCTTAATAGGATTGTAGCTAAACACCACAAATTTACTGCCTTAAAAATGACCATGGAGCTGAAAAGGCACCACTGTAGCCCCACCTTTGTAACCCCATCTATTTGGAAACCTCTTGGAACCCAAGGCCAACACACAAAGATGCTTAACCTGGACAAAGGGACAAAACCTCTATAAAAAGCATCCCTGAGCAATGGAAAAACATGTTCTGATGAGTCATCTTTCACCCCTTTCCCCTACATCTGGATAGATTTTAATTTGAGATTGCCAAAGGAAACCGTCCACCTACAGGGCCGTGGGTTCCATGACGGTATGGGCGGCCATCATGTGGGAGTCATTATGACTGACGATCGTTTCACATATAACAGCTAAGGAATTATGAGGCCATTTTACTGGAGTAAAAAGTAAGTACACCCTGTGTTCCCCTTATGTTCCCTCCTGTTTTCAGCGATGATAATGTGCCCATAAACACTCCTAAACATATTTAAGATGGCTTTCCTGAAGACCTGGATGAAGTCAACGACTTTCCACAGCCTCTCTGATCACCTGATCTAAGCACCATTGGACCTTTATGGAATGCAGAACACAAGACAGATTCCTTGATATTAAAATATCGCGATGCATTTCCGTTATATTGTCCACCCCCTGTATTTAATGAATCCAGTTCCACCATTTAATCCACAAATGTTAGCGTACTTTAATGTATGTAAAGCAGGGCTACTTTGATTACAACAGCAATAAGCTGGTCTCTTTGTGTCATTTTTCACAGGACTGTAGGCAAATACGCAAACGGCACAGACACGGGCATTCTAGCATGCACCTCGAGCGTAAACCCCGAACGTGTGACCAAAATTCTTATCAAAAGCCTAAGGTTCGAAATCGTACATTGAAGAGTCACTGTAGACACATGTGTGAGATGATTTTCGAGCAGTTTCGGAAAACACATACTTACACACAGATGTAAGCGCATGCAAAAAGCGAGAATGGAGCCAGGCCAGAGGATGGGGAGGTAAATTTGAAAAGAGAACAAACTGTTAGTACATGTGAAATTTTAGCAGCGTTTCCATTTCCACACAGGCTCGCTCTAAAACCGCCGTTGCCCCCGGCTCAGGGGGAGCCCCAGCATGCCCTGGTGTCGCCGAAACCGATAAGGCCAACACGGCTAATGCCCTCGTGCCACGTCGATAAAATGCTAAGATGCCACATCGGTAACGAGTTTCCCATCATTCCGAATGTAATCTCAGGAGCGGCGGCGGGTGCTGGAACTGGAATTTGAAGTTTGCTCGCTCAGTGGCTGTGAGGCAATCTAATTTTATCAGAATGTGCCAGGAAAATTATCTCACGCTTCCAGAGGAAGGTGCCATCTCTCCAGGTCTCACCGGACAGCCACCTCACAATAACAGAACAGCTGCTATTTAGAAAAAAATTATATATATATATATATATATATATATATATATATATATATTTATGTGTGAAAGCGGCACCATGATTCATGCAGGCGGTGATTAAAAGTGAAGGCCACAGTGATCATGCACAATACTAACCTTGCAATAGTGTTGAGCTAGTGGGTTCAATTACTTCTACATCAGAAGAACAAAAAAAGAAACAAAAAAAAACAAAAAAACAAATGCAAAATCATTTGAGTTTACTGCATTGGGACAGGAGAAGGAGAACAGGAGAAGCAAACCCAGATATCACCGTGTTATTGTTTCAACGTTGAATTATGGTCGGTGTTAAATTATCACCGCTGAAACTAAATTGATTTTTGGTCAGATTTTCAATATTGAAAAATTGATGGTGGCAAAACCTTGATTCAATGTTGATATAAAGTGAGAGATTGAAGATCAACGCTGTTTCAACCTTTTTGTCTGCTGTGGAATCAATGTCATTTCAACATATCTGGGATATCATGTGCTATCTGGGAAGGTGATGCTTCTTCTGCATTAAGGCTAGAAAACTGCCATTTTAGCTACCATTGTACAACATCGGCAGCTATGGCAGAGGTGCTTACGGGAGGATCCGCAAGGGTAATATCTACGAACAAGCACTGTAATAGCCTTGCTTGCTTTTAGCATAGATTGAGGTATACTTACACTTTACAAGCAGGTCCACACTCACCGTAGAGGACGACGCTTGTGTTGGCGCTGCCCAGTTTGTTGACGGCCACGCAGGTGTAATTGCCATAGTCCGTCGCCGACACGTTGAAAAATGTCAGCATGGACAGCCGGCCGGTGTTCTCAATCTCAATACCGTCAAATCCATTAGAGATCCTGCAAGACAGCCACAGTCAGAGACGCTAAAAGCTTTGGCAACCCCACCAAGCTCCGGTTTTAAGAGCTTTGAGGGGAAAGTACGTGTTAATTCCCGGCATTGCTGTCCTTCACTGAACTAAGTGCATAACGAGAGCTCCTAACAAAAACGTATTTATAAGAGTCAGAACTCCAAAACCTCGACACACGCCCAAATACCAAATGTAGGTATTTAAAGACATCACAATGAAAGTATTGCCATTTAAAATAAAAGCCACCTTTTTTTTTAACAAACATTTCCTTTGTTCACATTTTGCAGCTTTAAAACATGCACATTCAATACAAAAAGTTACAGGAGAATTTTTGACAGGCAAACTGAGTCGCGGTACCTCTTGTCATCTCGGTACCATTCGAATTTTGCCAGGGGCTCCGCCTCTGCCTCGCACTGAAGGACCCCTTGCTGACCCAGAGTGACGCCAACATCTCTGCCTTCCAACACACTCGGGGGGTCTGAGGACACAAACCCAGAGAAGGACAGGGGGTTCAGGCACATCTTCAGTGAAACCCGTGACAAACCCCAATCAAAAGAAACGGTCCTGTTGATGAATTTTTGGACATAGCATATGTTTCTATTGATACATTTGTTATTAAATCCTTTTGCAAAACCATGGCTGTTTGTGATTTACTTAACATGAACTTGTGGTTCACTTACAGTTGACTATTATATCCAGTGTTTGTACATCTAAGGAAACGTCATTGGCAGCTGTACATTCGTATGTTCCTGCCTTGTGCCGGGAGATGGCTGGGATTTCCAAGTACTCGTCCTCTGATGCAAAACCTTGGACTGAAAACAAAGAGGGACAGCATGCTTTAGAACTCACAGCACAGCACCAACTCAGCATCTGAGGCCTGCAGGCGATGTAGAGATTAAGGGCAGGTACACACACGCCTGAAGGTTGCCAGTTCCAGTCCCACTAGAGGCTGAACTGCTCCAGTTAAATACCCAGTTATAAAAATGCTGATATAAGATTAAAGCACGACACAGGGAACGAAACTTTAGATCTCACGAAGGGACAAAGTTTAGCTATAATTACAAAAGTTCGTGACATCGTTTGTGATTCCGTGACCATGAATGTCAGCCTGTGCCATTTCTCAGAAGAAAGAACTGAAGTCACCCTTCAAAGGGCACATTTTCTGTTCCTTCTATTTTTGCATCTGACACAACCCACAGCTAATAACAATGTTCAAGTGGCTTCAGTGTTCTAGCTGAGCAATTGTACCCCTGGCTAATAATTAGCAAAGCAGGACCTTTCTCTGAAATGCACTGGGGTTTGAACATTTAAGACATAAGTATTGATACGGTTCATTATCATTATTTTACTTTATTCACAGCTTAGCAGGTGGACACTCAAATGCATTTCCAAGTTCCCGAAGACAAAAAATACCATCACGAATTATACATTTTAAAATAAAATACATTCGATAACATATAAGTTTAAGGTTATAAATAGAGTCTCCATAATGCAAATAATGCATCCACCACTGCTGGTGCTGGAGACTCTTTTTATAACCTTAATAGGTGTAACCTGTGACAGCGTTACAATGCGCTGGTAGACACTTTGGTGCATGTGGAGAGGCTCACACCAAGGAAGAGCTGCTAATGAGAGGAATGATTGGGGAAAGGCGCTCAGCTAGTGGGGGACGTCAGAAACCGCGAAGCCATTGAAAAGTGGCGGTGGGGCAGCCACCCTCCTGGAAAACCCCCATCAGCCCCATAAAAGACATTACTGCACTTAAATAGGAAAGTAATGCGGTCAAAACCTGCTAAGAGTTCTGAGCGCTCGATGCTCTGGCGAGAGAAAGTGTAAGATGAAACCCCACCAGAATTTATTCATCTACAGTATATAGTAAATGACCCAGTGTCAGTCATTGGGGGGGGGGGGGGCAGTAAAACAATATCAGAAAAAGGCAGCTATTCTGATGTCAACAAATAAACGGCTAGAGTTTTCCAGCTTCCAAAAGGAGGGAAAATGGGAACTCTATCTCAACTTCAGAAAATATTTTACAAAACATGAAACTGGTGGTAAGATGTACTGCTTTAAGCATAAATAAACAAAGTATTCTATTTTTATGCTAAGCACATGTCTATTTAAAACAATGTAGCTAATATTCAACTGAGTAAAGATAATGCATAATTCATGATAATAAATATATGCATATTTCTTCTGCTCTTGAAGACACTCTATGAATCAGGATGAAAACTAAAAAAATAAATAAATAAAAATGTCAAAACAACCTAAGGAGATACGTTCATATAGCAACACAAACTCATATTTGATAACGCTGCATAGATTATCGATTATTAAAGTGAAAAGGTAAACCAGCACAATCCACCCACCAGTACCTGCATCCTGAGACAGACACACATGCACTTCTCCATAAAAACCAAGATTTCCTATTAGGAAGATTAACATCTACAAGGACCAGAGAGAAACTGGCTGCTAAACCAGAGAGAAATAAAAACACCCACTTTAGCTTAAGAAAAAGGCTGAGTGCAAAGTCAATGATTCCTTGTGATCGATAACCAGGCTGCAGGATTTCTGTTTTGTTTCGGTGCTGCTGGAGTCTGGATACAGGGGAACCTGCATCTCCCTGGAAAACAACAGGCCATTCCTGTGGGCCGGCAATAAGCCTTTGGCGTGTTGACGAAATACCAACATCGTTTGGGTTTTGGTTTGGAGGGTTAGATAATCTGCTTTTCTAAGACAGTGTTTCTCAAATCGGTCCTCAGGGACCTCCAGACAGTTGACGTTGGGAGCTGGGAGAGAGCAAAAACATGGACATCTGAGGGTCCCTGCGGACTGGTTTAAGAAGTACTGCTATAAGAAACACTCTATATGATAAAGAAACTCCATTCACAGACTTGCATATTAAATTCACGTTAATAAGAATCTAATGTATTGAAAATAGGGCATTTTGATTAGTATGGACAACATTAATCAATCAAATGTCAATACCCCTTAAGATTAATGATGCACTGAAGATACACAGATTCCCTCAACAGGTGCCATATTTTCAAAAGGGAAATTTACAGATGCTGAAATTTTATTCCAGAAAATAAATTAGATAGGAAAATAGTTTGCCTGACCGCACCAGGTCCTCCATCTGACGCTGAGTGTATGCGAGCAGAGCAGTAAGGACGACAGTCTGGACCCCAGACAGACAGGCAGTGTATGCGGAGATGCCTGGATTATCCGGGGTGGGGGGGCGAGGCAGACAAAGCCCCGGACTCCCTGAAACTCGGAAAGGGGCATGGTCATGCCCGTAGGGCTGATTCTAGCGAAGATAAATGGGGGGAATTCAGCGAAGCAATGTGCCAGTGTTACTCTGCGCAATCAAGTCAAACGGGAACTGGGACAGTCACGTTAGCGGCACTGAACGCATCAACTCTGCGTGACGGACGCCGACCTCCGCTGGCGTCATCCTGTGCTGAATTATATGCTGGGGAGCTGAGAAATGGTGGCAACACGGAAAAGCCATCGGTTATAAAGAACACGATGGTTTAAACATTAAATGTGTCAAAAGGAATTAGACGCCATGAACGGCACTGTAGCGAAGCCACTGTCTGATGCACTCCGCTTGTCACACGGTCAACCTGCGTCACTGTACTCAGTCGATCAGCTTTCTCACGTTAATAACAACAAACAACCACAGCAATAAAATGCTTCTGCCACTTGCAGATCAGTCAGAATGACACATTTTATTAATTCATGAAATTTATTGTTTTCAATGTATTTCACGCTGTTGCATTTAAACAGTGATAACCAGACAGCTTCAAGGTATCTTATAATGAATTATTATGCTTTCTTCTTAAAAATACTTGGCAACAAATAGAATTTTCTTTGACAGTCACTTTGATTTTACTGAAATATTCAAGCCTTTTGTTAAACTTTTCAATTCGATATGAAAACCACATCTGTTACTAATGCTGGAATAAACAATTTCTGGAAATACCAATAGTATTTATTTATATTAGTCTTAAAATGGTTATGTTACAATGAATAATTTTTTTTGGAAACATACATTTAACCCTTTTTTCTGAGAGCTTTTGAATGGACTGAGATGATTAATTTCTGGATTAGCCCGGAGAAAAGGAGAATAATTCTTCATTCAGGCCTAATTCATGGCTAGAAGTGTGTGAGCATTTTCAATCAAATTCCGGATCACTAGACAAATAGGGTCAGTCTCAACACCAAGAATGCAAAGATCGTACTTGTAGTCTTGGCAAGACCGGTCTTGCTAACTTGACTTCCAAGAATGAACTTGGGGTGCAATGAATTACGGGACTGGTCTTGTTAGGCGAGGATGCAACCAATGTATCCTTCAAATCTGGGGTGGAGCAAGACCAACATCCAGGGATTTTTACCGTTCTCGGTACTTCCGTTCTTAGTACAGTATTTGAACTCATTTTCAACAATGGAAGATGAGGTAAAACGGGTGCATGAGAACACAAGTACGGTCAAGCAGGCATATTGAGGTTCACCCATAGTCTAAACTGGACAACATTTAATACTATAGTGATCCTATCCAAATGTGATTACATTACATTATAACTAAAAACGCACAGGATCACATTTGCAAACAACCGGCTGAACGATCGGATACATGACAAATGTGTCCTGGGCGGCTGTGTTTATAAATGGCCAATTACCTTGGCCACAGCCAAACATACTTGGAGAAAAACTACCTAATAAATAAATAAACAAACACTATCCCAACGGTTAAGCACAGTGTTGGAAAGGTCACAGGTTAAGGCTGTTTTTCTGAGGGAACCATAAATTCTGAATCACGGTGAAATGTTCTGGATGGGGACAGGAGGCTTTCTGGGCTGAGGCAGCATTGGAAATGAGCTCTGCAGAATGACAATTAAAGATTCAAAAGACATGAGAGACCAATTTATACCTATAGCAAAAGCTTCAGGGTTATGATTTATTTTAAGATTAAAGGTTCAAATTGTATCACGTAGGACTAAATGGAAGTGATTCATGGTTGAGTTACATATGAATTAGAACTAGGGCTTCCATGTTAATATATGATCCTTTGTATGCAGATCAAAAATGTACTTTTCGAAATTTTACATCACAGACAAGATGTACAGAAAATCTTCAAACCCCTTAAAATCAGTATTTTCTCTTGTATTTATAGTGTAAGACTAAAACATTACTCAAAATTATTTTTGCCTTCATACTCATGGTAACCAACATTCAAGTAAAGGCGAAAAGCCAATGCATTCATAAAATGAATGAAAAATAACAGTAACCGATATTAGTTGCTTATAAGCAGCACTGTCACTAAGGTTTAAGTGTGACTAATATGAAGGAACATGCAGAATCTTTGCAGAGTTGTGGGAGGGGATTGGTCAGGAAATGGGTTTAAAAAAGATGTCAAGACCATGATAACGAAGTGGAAGGCAGCAGACCAATCTAAAATCAGGTTCTCCTCTACTCTGAAACCTCAGATGAAGGCTTGTTTATCGCATGCAAAATAACACTCGAGGGATCCTGGAACCCAGATGGGAAAAAAAGCTCAGTGGTCTTCGGTGGTCTGATTAGTCTCCATGCAGACAGATGTGAGATGAAAACCTGCTGCTCTCTATGAGAAAGCTGTAATGGTGTGGAGCACTTTACCTTTCAGCACCACAATGGCCCAAAGCATCAGCGGAAGCCACCTGAGAACAAGAAGGTCAATGTCCTGAAGTGGCCTAGTGAGACCCCTGACCTCAACTCGATATCAATCAAACTGAGAAGCTGAGGAGTGAGTCCAATAACAGTCCCCCTGAAATCC